GTTGGCCAGATGCTGACCGAATCAGGAGCCAATACGTAAGAAGCCTTAAATGTAATGCAGGGGGGGTGCCGGCTACGTAACAGTATGTCGCTGCTATGGCTGCTAGGTGCAGTTGCAAGCAGTTGCAGTCCTGCCTCGAGGTTGTTCTTGCCTCTGAGATCATCCATGCCCCTGGACTGCAGCCAAGTCTCTGCAGCTCGTGTTGAAAGCCGCGCCCATGCAAAATCCAGGAACTCTGGATGGGGCAGGCGGTGTTGGACGTGCTCTCTCAATTCCTGGAGCCAGGAGGATTCGCCATAATCCTGAACGCAGCGTCCTATCACCGTGCTTCGGCGGCTGAAGTTTGTTCGCAGCATGCTAGATAGGAGCACATAGAGTCGTCCACCAAGGCTTCGGCGCGGAAGAGTTTCAGCAGCTGTTCCGTTCTCGCAAAGAGGCCTTGCTTCCTCTTCTCCTATGGATTGTTGTTTCAGGTTGCTGGCGAAGGAGCAGAACGTTCCTGACAAGACGAGCACACTGAGGGGAGGTGTCCTGCACAAAAGCCCACATCAGTCAATAGCCCGGCATGGCATGCATCACCAGTCGCCATTCATCTCAGGCTTCTCGAGCAAGCGATTCCAGGTCAGCAGCGAGGCCGTAGGGGACGTCGACACTGAGGATCTCGCCTACGACTGCTATGTTTTGCAGATTGGTAGTGCGCAGACGAGTCTTGGCAGAGATGTCGACTTTGGCTGATGCCTGCTACTACGGCCACCGCAGACCACGACCATGGATGTCTGACTTCTGTCTTATATCGTATGGGATGGCCTGGCCTTGGAATCGTGGGCCCTTCGCTACTCTCGGAGCAGTCAGTCAGCGCACTTGAGCGTTCGACTCCTGCGCCGTCCCGTGCTGTCAGGCCGATTGGGGCTGCACCACAACTCTTCGGACACCAAGCTTCCTGGTAGGGCGCCATGATCCCCTCGAAGCGCACCTTCGACAACCGGTGAAATCTCATTGGCCACCTCTTGCATTGATTGCTGCACGGATGACGAAAATCATGACGATCTTCTGCAGCTTCTTGTAGGTCTTGTCGACCTCATCAGCCAGCCAAGCGCGCAACTGCTTGCGTAGCAAGCGGCTGAACGCGCCTGACTCGCCGACTGCGCCAAAAGACGACGTGCTTGGACGCAGTCGCAGTCCCTAAAGATCCCCAAAAGGGGCCTCTAGGGCCTGGGGCGGCCTGGGGTGGCCTGAGCCTTCCTCTCCTCTCTGAGCGCAGGATGATGGGCAACAAGGCCAAAGCCACTGCTCTGGCAAACTCTGCTTGTTTTGCATTTCTCTGCCACGTCTTGCACAGGGGCAGCCGTAGGCGCAAGTGCGGTGATCGGTGCACGCTTTGTGCTCGAAAGCTATCTTGATGGGGAAGAGGCTCCTGTTGCCGTCCAGATGAAGCATTTGCTGCTTTGCTTTTACACCCGTGGAGCCTGAAGATATGTGGGAGGTTGACGTGGATGTCGTCATGTCAGATGGTGAATGGCAGTATGCGGCAGTGTCGGACAATGGTCCTACGTCTGTGCCCCAATGACTAAACAGGGTCTCCATTTGGCAAGTTTTTCTCGTGCACCGTGATTGAGCAGAGGCTGGAGCCTTATTTCAACGAGACGTGGGCGGTCTCTCCATCCCTCCTGTTGGTTCCCAAGTGCTTTCCTGGCGCTTTGCAGCATGCGCATCTCTTGAAAGCGGCAGTGTATTCGGTTTCAAGTCAGCAGCCACAGTCTTTCTCCTGCTTTTGCTGTCTCTCCTGCAGTTCCTGTTGCTTGAAGCTTCTGCTGCGCTCGAGAGAACATCTCTTATCTTGCAGCTTGTCCGGTTCTCGTGGAGTCCTTCAAATCGGCAAGCAATACTAGCTAGCCGCTAGCGGTGCTTCAGGCCCCGTGAGAAGCAGCTGGCGCTGCGAGAGCTGGCGGTGAGCAGCGTTAAGGCGGCGCAGAAAGCAAGCAGCCCTGGCAGCCCGTGGTGTACAAGACGTTCTGTGTCCTGTCACCAGGCGCTTGGGTTTCAGGCGACCTGGCAGCAAACGCAAGACGAGACTTGACGACCTGATCCGATGAGTCGGTCTTGGAGGATAGCATCTTCCATGTGGAGCTGAAGTACACCAGCCAACACGGAGCTCAACTCATCGAGGCATTGATGCCTTGCCGTCGCCTGTGGGGCACCGGGCATAGCTTTCGGCTGCAGTGCACTCGCAGGTGAATGCCCGAATGGGTGCCTGGCCCGTGATGCGTCGTGTCACGTTTGCTGCTTGCCTTTGAAGTTGCACTTTTCTGGAGGTGGTGGACCGGTATATTCCACAAATCTGAAAACCTGGGGCGTCAGACCTGCATGTTAAGCAGCGTGTTGTGCATGCTGAACCTGTGCTTGAGTGCTTGTATGTCAGGTGGATCTCGTGGAAGAGTCTGTCTGGCTCGTTGAGAAACATTGTTGTGAAGTGACTGAGTACATGTCGATTGCCCAGAACATTGTTCTGCGCGGCTGGAATTCCATCGCGTCCAGTGGCAACGAGGACGTGCAGCCTAGCAATAAGCTTTCTCTTGACTAGATGGTTCTCATGGCAGTGCTTCCTTTTAGCAGTTAACCTCTACCTGAGAACAGCAAATTGCAGTTGAGACTCGCCCGGCACAGGTCGGCTGTTGTTGCCCGTGGACGTTTGCAACTAGGAGTAAACAAGAACACCAAATTATAGCAGATCGGTGGATCTTCGCTCATCACCCAATTGACACTTCGCACTGATGTGGGCGTGAAAATCTGTGTTGCCATGGTGTGGCTCGTCTCAGAAAAGTATCCGTCACATGATCTGTGACCTGAATCTGGCGAGAGACCATTCCCTGCGGCCGCCGGCACAGCTGCATGCCGCAAACCCCATCCCTGAAATATTATGCGACTCCACGGATGGCCGACTTAACAGTCTGAGCAGCAGCTTCACGTAGTCAAGCGTCAACCACCCACCAAGCAAACGTAGGCACTTAGACTTCCAGGCGGCATCCAGAATTCGAAATGCACAAGTCAACACAACTTCAGAAGATAAAGACTATCCAATTTAGGATGGCTCATGAAATAGATCCTATGCGTGAAAGCCGGGACGACGTAAGAGGTTCCCGGTCTTGTGCGCGCCAAGGTCTGGAGGGCACGTTTGCCCTGCGTAGTCGCAGGTTGTGCGACCTTGCCACTCCTGATGATTATCATGCGGCGTAGGCGGGATCCCCACTGCGAATGACTTGTCACTACGCGCAGGAAGCCCGTTGAGTGCATCGCCAATGCCGATGCTGCTCGATGCAATTTGTTCATATCTTGCCGTTGCCACTGCCTCTAAGCTCAGGTTAATGCCATGCTGCCCTCTGTGTCAAGGGTTGTTTTCTTTCAGTGACACGCTGCACGGCTGGTTTTTGGTCTAGCTTCGCACATCTTGGTTGTGTATTGAAACTATATACGTGTCAAAGTATTTTCATGTTGTGCACAGACCTGCAGCCGCCTCAAGTGCTACTCATGGAGCTGACCGCCGACTGCATTATAGGATCACAACTGGATTCTGAGCATGTCCACCTATGCAAGTCTTTTCAAGCGCACTCATTGCTCTGAGCACGAGCATTTGTGCCAAAAATCGAGTGCGAGGTGAATGCGCTGCGGTCTGGGAGGTTGGCCGCCTTTGAGTGTGTCAGCTCAGATGTTAGGTGCTTTGTGCCAGGCTTGTGGACCTCAGCTTCATGAAGCCTTTGCTGCAACGTGAGGGTGTTGTTTCGCCTGCCTCTCAGTGCAAAAGGGCGGCTGTTGTCCTTAAACGCCTTGAGCCGAAGCTCTGCTGCCAATAGCGCGTATTGGGGCGATGATCAGGAAGTGGATAGCTTTCGAAGGCCGTACTTTAAGGAACATTTGGAGCAATCATCTTGCGATGGTTCGCCGAAAGGCGGTGTCCCACACGCTGAGCCCAGACGATCTTGAGGTAGAGAGCTTCGTAGCAGTAATACTTCCAATACCACGAATGCACGCTACGCGCAGAGAAGGCGTTTGGCGCGCGATGTTTTTGCTGAGGCACAACTGCCATGTCAGAGAAGGGGAGGAGGTGGTCGGACCCCAGGATGGTGCGACACTCGGTCCATGATGCAAAATGCTCTCGCCCAAGCTCGATGCACTGCGAGGTTTGCCAACTTGGCTTGTGGAGGTTGTGGTTTCCAGGCCAACGCCTCGTGAGGCCTGAGAAGCTGAGAGGCGCTGCATGTCGCCTTCTGTGGCTCCTGGGAGGCCCTGGACTTTCTCATGAAGCTGGAGGCAGCCCCGCTCTGCTCTGCTCGCGCGCTCTCAAGGGCTTTTTGCAAGCCAGGCCGAGATCCAAGCCTTGGTGAAGTTGGCCTAGGGCATCCCAAGGCCAAGATGCCAGAGCGAAGAGGGCTCTCTTGCATGCCCTGGCCGTCCAACCTGTTTCGGTGACAGGTGGGGCCAGTGCGTGGCCTTGCTGAGCCTACAGAGTGACCAGGCTCGGACGTACAGAGATTCGCAGAGCGGCTGTGTTGCATCCGCAGACAACACTGCGGGTGTATGGCTGCTCTGTTTTTTGCCTTTTGCCTTCAAGATAAGTCGCCTTTGCTGTTGATTCCTGAGCAGCTGCGTGAAGCAGCTGTTTTTTCGGCCAGCAAAGAGTGCATCAACCACAATAACTACAAGACACTAATTCACTACTTTAAGACACACACACACACACTCACACACACACACAGATATATATATATATGTATATATGTATATATATACACACACAAACAAGCCCAACACACCCAGACAAGCCATGCAGCATTACAGCATTACCGTACACTGCAGACTTGAATTGATCTCCAATTCAGCTTACATAGTCCCGTCTGCCGGCAACGCACGAGCAGAAGACAGACGCAGATTTCAAATTGAGTCGTGATGGCGGAGGCAAGAGCCTCGCCTCCTTTGTCCATATCTTGCAGTCGCCACAGCCTCTGAGCTTTTAAGGCCATGGTGCCCCCTCTGTGAAGGGTGGGTGGCATTATGGATGCTGCAACAGAACTATTGAATAGTTTTAGCTTTTGCAGCTGCCGTCGGGTCGCCCCGTCGGTCTGAGCCGCGCAGTCGCACTGTCGTGCTGCGTGGATTGCATCATTTGACATAAGAAAATACTGCGCCAGCCAACAGTCCTTGGAAACCATGTGGCCAGCAACGCTGTTCTGCCACAGGCCCCATCCGTCCTTGTTTCTCAGGCGGTGGCAACATGTGGCAGATGTGCTGGTGTAATGCTTGCAACCTACAGCCGGCTTGTAGGAACGTAATTGAAAAGGTTAACCGTGCAGGTCGTGTTGAAGCACATGGTCTGCAGTCAGACAAAGTATCCTGGCTAGGGATAGGGCTCAGCAGTGACTGCTCAAGTTTCGACAGCTGCATAACGGGTCAACGAATTCAAAAGTGGCCAGCATGCATGATGATGTTTCAGCACCACCGGCGCTTCATGTGGTGCTGTGCTTATCTTTTCCTAGATTCACAGTGTGTTTCATGGCCGGCCTAATGTTACCAAGCGTCTGCCAAGGAAGCGGCGCAGCTTCCGAAACAATACCCGCTTCAGCTTGGCTTGGCTTACTTGCTTCTCGCCAAAGCCCGAGCCAGAACCACGCTGTCCTTGCATGGTTGTCCACGTGCACACCGGCCGCACCCACTGCATGAGTGGAGGTTAACATAGTGACACGAAAAGATCAAGGCAAGCAATAAATAGTTGTCACCACACGCACACACAGAGACAGACCTTGCTTGCTGACTTGTGGGCTTCCCGGCTTCTCGTTACAGCTTCTTGGTTGCGTAGCTTTCGGGCTGTCTTGGTGTAGTCCATTACAGCGTTGCACGGACGTCTCGGGCCGGCCCCAGCGATGCGGACCGGACAAAATAGCCGAACCGTACGGCGCAGCGGCTTGGCCTGCCCCCCCCCTCAGGAGGCCGGGAGGGAAGGAGCGAGGCGTAGATTCGAGTCGGCGGCAGCTTGGAGCTTGAGACGGGACGGGGCCACGAAGCCAAGGTGCAGAGGACATGATGCAAGTGCATCGCTTGGCAACAGTGGGAGTATGGAGGCCCTCCGAAGACCAGTCAACGCGTAAGGGGAAGAAGCTGGGAGGTTGATGATAAGTGGAAGATGGACAGCTGCAGGAAATGACATGCTGTTGAACCACAGTGCCTCCCAGCCTTGATCTAGATTTAGGATCCTGGAAGATCAAGGCAATCATGCTTCGGTGCAATGCACGGGCACTGAGGAAGGGAAAGATGGGGTCGTGCCGCAGGGATCCAGAGAGAGGCGGTCGTCATTCTGAAGTCGTCGAGGGGGATGAGAATCAAGCAAAGTCCTCATGCTGTCAAGCGAGGCCTGCACATCAGCCCGCTTCTGATGTGCTGTATGCTTGGGGACTCCTTACACGGAGCTGGGCCTGAGCGCGTCTCCGACAAACGACTGGACAGGAATCCTCTGAGCAGACAAAGCCAAACCGGGCAACTGAACTAAGTGATGTCACATCTCGGGAGAAACCGCTTTGCATGTGGCCATATGTGGCAATACGTCCCTTCGCTAAACCAATCTAAACCAGCTCAGTTTGGCAGCTGCAAGCGGATCCAGCCTCAAGCACTTGAAATGTTGCCGTCATGCAACAGGACGAGCCGCAAAGAACCTTTACGCTAATGAGCAGTTTTCCAGACCTGCGCATGGTCTTTCTCATTTGTGGCCTTAAAGGCGACCCGTGAGTTGCAAAATCACGTGGGTTTTGATAGGGCTGTTGCCAAGCTATTCTTGAGACCGTCGTTTCAGCCCTTGCATGCCCAGGTCGGCTATTTGGTGCCGGCCTTGTAGTGTTGTATGGACTGTCAACACACGGCCTCCGCTTGTTGGATAAAGCAGGCTTAGCTGGCTTAGCTTCAGGTGCGAACGCTCTTTGTGAGTTTATGCTTGCCGGCATCTGTCGGGATCTCGCTTCCGATGAAGCATCGCTTGGGTCGACTCTGGGTCTCCACAGGTCGGCGTCATACTGACGGGATGGAGCTTTAGCTACTTCATCCAGGCAGACTCTGTCGGAAAGTCGTCGGTAATGGGCCATGTGCAGACTGCAGGAAGACATTTTCGTCGGCAGAGACATGCTTCAAGAGCTTGCCTTCTTCTTGGTCGGCAACTTGATTTCTTTTCGGAGTCTTCTCCTCGCCCGTTCCCTCGCTTCTTCGGAGGTTCTCTTGACCGCAGGCTTGGAGCCGCCTCCCCGGACCCAAGGGCCGCCTCGCAGATTTCGTAGGACGTCGCTTTCTGAGGATTTCCATCCTTCATCTCAAGCCTTACTTCTTCGTCTGGCACTTGGCTCGGCCTGTTCAGCACCCTCCGCCTCTCCACTCGATGAAGGTGCTGGCATTGGTTCCCTGCACCGCGGAGTTGCTGGCCATCGCCGCGTATTCGGTGCGCCCGGAGAGCTTCCACAAAATCTGCAACACGTAAGGTGCAGAGGGTTTCAAGTCACGAGTCAACAAGCTGACAGCCGCGCCGCAGCTCTTGCTGGTTTCAGCTTAAGTCGCATGTCGTCGGAGAACCCTAAGATGGCAGCGAGAGGCCAGCAGCCCGGTCTGAAAGGATTTTTTCGCGAAGTCGACTTCTCCCCGCGGCTGTTTGCAGGAGAGGCTACGAAGGCCATGGACCTGATTGCCAAGTCGCAGGCGTGTCTGAAACGCCTGGCCGCAAGAGGACCTGTGGCTCGGACCTTTTGTCAGCACTTTGTCCGTCAGCCGAATTTAGACGACGGACCTGTCATGTGGATTCAAGGTGAGTGCGCAGAGCGGCCCTGGAATTGTGCTGGAAAGGCATGGGGCCAAACTTCGGAGGCTGCACGGTGACAGGGAGGAGGAGGCGATACTGATAGGACGGGTGCCTCCCTTGTTGCAGATGTTGCAGGAAATGGTGACATGACTTGGAGTGCAGAAGCTGCCAAATCTGCCAAGACCTGTTCTAGGAGCAGCATGCTCAGAAGTCTTCACAGGGCCTCGACTCGCAAAAGTGTTGCGGCCAGCCTTGGATCATCAAAAGACTGCTGTCGAGAACATGGAGATGGACAAGCCATGGGAGCCTCTTGCAATACATACAAGTGCAGGCATCCTGGCAGAAGCCAATGCGAAGGGATTCCTGTAGCATTTTTTGGCAATGCAGACCTCAGCCTCAGGCGTTCCACATGCGCTCGCAGACTTCGTGGAAAGGTTATCGCTTCACTTGCCCTGGCCTCCTGAAGGTGACTGGTTTCTGAATTTGCAGCTCGAGGGGGCAACTGCTGTTTGGGCAGGGGTGGAAACTTTGGCCACCTTACGCTCACATAACATCGTTCCAGCTGCAAGCGGATGTGGTGAAGTGTCCAAGGATGACAAATGTTACCTTGGAGTTGCCGAGCATTCCTATCATGGTGCAAAGACGACGGCTCTTGGACAGCCTGCGCTACCACGCTGGAACAAAGCACCACGGACTGTGGGGCAAGTGCCGTACCCTCTGCCGCCAGCGGATGCAGCGACAAGCCAGCAAGCCCAGAAAGCCTACCTAGATCAGTTTGAAACCTTTCTGATGGAGCACGAAGAAGTTGGCATTTTGATCTTTGAGCCGCAGTGGGGTTCCAGCTTGCTTGGCCGAACCTGGCCGGCTGCGCTGCTCCGGAACGTCATCTCACTTTGTCACGCCTTGGGTAGAAGCGTTCTGTGTGACGAGATTATGTGCGGATTAGGTCTGACATGGGGAGGAGAAACACAACCAGTAATTCCTGTAGAATGCTCTGCATCATCCATATATCCTTCCATATATCATCTCTGCTTTGGCTGCACCCGGCAGGTCGCCACGGGCAAGGCGAAAGCCTGTTTCTGAGCTCTGCCTGGGAGCTGAATCCAGATGGTGTTACCTTCGGCAAAGCAATTGCCTCTGGCACATTTCCGCTGTCGGGGGTCGCCATCCGTGGCGGTGCAAACACTTTGTTGGAGTCTGGCCAAAAAGTGGTTCAAGGCCATACATATGCCGGATCTTCATCGCTTGCGTACTTGACTGCAGCTCAAGTTCTCAGAGAAGTGCCGGCATGGCTCTGCAACGTGAAGAAGTTGGGTGAGCTCGTGATCGAGATTCTTGGACCCTTGGAAGCATCACACGCACACTGTTGCAGGTCCATGTGTCAGGGTGTTGGATCAGGGTTTTGGCTTGTGGTTTGCATGCTTCCATCGCTGCTGGACAATGGCACGCCCGACAACATGCCCCGCAAACAGTGACGAGTTGCAATGCTGCCCTAGTGATGTCAGCACCGTTCTCAAAGTAGAGGTCAAGCATAGACTGGCATAGACTTGAGAACAGAATCCCTGAAGTCGCATGCCAAAATTGCAAGATTTTAAACCCGCATCTCAGGCCCCTTGCAGGATGAGAAATTCTTCCATCTACATGGACAGGGACTGCTCTGGGGTGTAGAACTCCGCGGAGGGCGCGATCTCAAGCGCCTCAAACAGCTTTGCGTACAGGAGGCTGTGTGGCCTTACTTCGTTGAGGGACCTATAGCTGGTGTCACAGGATTCATGATCAGCCCCGCTCTCGACATTTCCAACGAGCACTTTCGTGAGGGGCTCCACAGAATTCAGCGGGCACTCCAAGCGCTGAAGGCAGAGTTGGCATGAGTCAGCATGAGGACTGTGATTTGCGGCATCTTGCTGCCGGCTTGCTGCGAGTCCAAAAAGCGGAGTGGCCTTGGGCACATGTCGGCACACGCGCATGCACAGCCGGCAATGCAACTGCCAGGGTCTTTTTTGCAGTGCAGTGCCGGATTCATGTCGCAGGTGTACAATCTGGGCTTCACTTGGGCTGAAGGCTTGGCCGCGGACTTAGCCTGCTCTATGTGGCCCTGCTTTCCTCCGGCATGCTGTTACGTTTCCCTCCTGCACTGTCGCTGAACACCTTCATTTCTCAGAAAATGTTTCATTCCTTTGGCCACCATACGCCTAGTTTTATCTAGTTTTCAAGTCTTGCAACCCAGAACCTGGGGACCGTGCTGGTTGCCGTTGGTGACGGCTTGGTGATACCGAAGATGAAAGAGCCAGAGCCTTGCCTGTGAGTGCAATCAAGCCCTGACTTTGTTCTTCTGCTCGCATTCAGGTTTAGTGTGTTGCACAAGCAGCATCCAATGTCTGTGGCCTATAGCTGCAGTTGGCTCCAAGTCAAGCGAATCACATGACCGGTTGTGCAGGCCCTACTTGATGCTATGCTGGGCTCCAGTGGAGGCAAAGTGATTTCCTTCGTCACGAGAGTGTGACAGTGTGCGGCACTTTGCTACTATCACTATCAGGCCAGCTACGCGCTAACTTTATTTGGTGTGGCAGCCTCGGTTCTTCATCTGATCACGATCCATCAGGCGCGATACTTGATCTAGGTTTTCACTGCGGTCTCAGCTCCGGCTACGATGTCTTGGCCGAAGTTGGATCATGCTCAGCGTCGGCACTTTTCCACGTGTCGTGACTGTAGCATCAGGCCAAGCCTCAATATCGTTTTGCTGCTTGCATCGACGATGATACGAATAGCAGCGACGGTCGTGGCGGGCGTGCCTCCCTCACAGCAAGCAAGCTAATGTGGATTGCGCCATGTCGAGCACGCATAATTTCGCGCACTGAGCCTGAGGCAGCACTGGGCTATGCAGCATGGTTCCTCATCGACAAAAGAAGGGAGGCAGAATGTCAATGCAAGTGCTTGGTGAGAGGGTTGATTTGCAGCCGCATACTGCCAGTGGAGGCGACACTATTCGGGCACCAGGTCTTCACCAACCAACCTGCTTCAGACTCGTCTGCTGTCAGTAGGTTTCATGCATTGACGCTTGTCCACGCACCAAGGTTGAAGCCTTCCTGATGCTTCTGGCCGAAAACTGATTTGCAGGGCCACTGTTGCTTTCGTCGGGGGTTCCCCACATAAAGACATGAACGGATATGACCGTTTCTTCTGTAGGTGACACGACTAGCATTGTTGTCATTGTTGTGGGGCTTCTTCAACTGCTCCTCAAGGCCGTAGCCCTCTGTGCCTACGGTCTCGGGAGCAACACGAAAGGCAGGCCGTCGGTGCCTCAAAACATGTTTATTCCTCGCTGTTTCAGTCCTAGATTTGCAGACAAAAGGACGCTTCCGCTGTTCTTCGGCACGGGCCTGAGGGCGTGCGTTGGCACCTGTAGCCACTGCGAGCCTTCCGGCCGAGGCTGCGGCTCGCTCTTTCAGCCCGAGCTTATGGTCATCGCGGTGGACTTAGACCTTCTTCAGCGTTCGGGGGTACTGGGAGCAGCCAGTGTGCTCCAGTTGGGACAATCCAAGCACTTGCATGTGTATGACGGTAGGGCAAACTCAAGCTTCGTAAGGCAAGTGTGTAGTCCCCGAACCGCTGGGTGGACTGCAACAAGTTGGCATTTCCATAGTGCACAAGAGTGAGGATGGGGTTCGGTTCAAAATGTAGGCACTCCTCCATTTCTCTGCTAGTAGAGGTCGCTGGGTTGAGACATCTCTGTTTTCTTGGGGTGGTACTTGCTTTACTGTGCCACTGCTACTTCAACAACGACGACGACTACCACTACTGCTGTACCGCCATTGTTGATATTCTTGTCATGCTTACTACTACTACTACTACTACTACTCCTGCTGCTGCTGCTGCTACTACTACTACTACTACTACTACTAAGGGTTTCGGCTGGAGCGTGAGCTGCTGCGTAGTGCCTTGCTTTGTGAGGGTTG